CCAGGAAAAATGTAGGATGGAGTAAAACTAACAAACGGTACGCAACACCTCCCCGCACACAGAGTCGTCTCGGGGAATTGCTGCTCAGGCTCAATGGCTGCAGAAGTGAGGACTTGGTGAAGTGGATGAGCACAGCAGGTACCTGCAGGTTGTCTGACCTTGCTTTGACCCCCTGTGGTTGCAAATACCCCCTCCCTATGCCAGTTTTTCTCTCTCTAAAGATTTGAGAGATACCGATGATGTTTGCCGCGGTGGTGAACTCTGACAGCTGGTTTCTGAACCTCGTCTTGACCTCAGGATAGGCAGCGCATTCATTTCTGCCTCTGTAATGCTTAAATATACAGCAGCCCTCGGGCCGTGATGAGTCACTGGCTCCTAATGACACCATCAGGCTGTTGGCAGCCTGCTCCTGTCAAAGGGGAGGCAGAGCTGACTACGCAGGGCAGTCACCCATCCCGCAGCGGCGCAGCTGGACGCCTGTGCCCGCGTCCCCCCATGCCAACGGTGGCGAACCCCGTCCCCGATGAAGCTGGAAGCCCTCTTGGCTTCGCGTTACCGGCCGTGCCAAAGCAAATGCTGACCCTTGCGTCCTGGGCTCAGCTCCTGGGAGGGAAGCACAGGGGCTGGTCCAGCTCCTTCTGGGCATTTCTTTGTCAGAGCACTTCTCATAGGCAGAGACGCGTGGTCACGCGCTTTGCCAGGATCCTTCCCTTTGTGTTCTGCTGGGGAGACGGGGGAGGACAGAGGACTGAGGGACTGCGCTCTTTTTCCATCAGTTTTGGCTGGCTCAGTGAGTTGCTGGTCGATGTTTAAGCACGGCCTAAGTGGGGGGAATAGGCAGCTTGCGATTAAGGTGAGTGGGTAATCCGTGGTTGGTTCAAAGCCTGGTTTGGGAGCCAGATGAGTCACTGAGCAATGTAACTGGATGATGAAATGCCCGCGTCCCTCGCAGAGTCAGATCAGAGTCCAGCAGCTGGAGGAGGGCGGGTGGGTGTTAAAGACCCTCTCCCTCAGGGGGCTGCGCTCAAGTTCCTGGTCCAGTCCAGTCTCTCCAGGAGAGACTCTCTCCCTGGACAGATCCCTTCAGCCTGGTGCTGCCTTCCCCCACCCATAGGTGCTGGCACTGTCGCGCCTTTTCCTTCCTCTTCCTCTCGTCCCGCCCTGTGGCGATTCACAGGCCTTTGTCCCTGTCCCTACCCCACCTTCTTTAGCTGCAGCTGCTGCCGTTCTTACCCAGGCGGGGCTCCTCCCGTGGTCTTGATCCCCTGCGCAAAAGCAGCGGTCGGGATGGCGCGGGGCTGAACCACGATCCTTCCCTTCCCCCACGGGAGGGGGCAAAGGCCACCTAGCCCCCCCCCAATCCTGGGCAGGGGCCTCAGGCCACTCTCTTGCCTCGGAAAGGAAGGCTGTGAGCTGCATCTCGCCCCACGAGGCCCCCGCACCGCTGGCTCGGCCATAGCAGCGTGGTGGCCAGGCCGTGACAGCACGAGGCAAGCAAGCGGTGTCCCCAGGCCGAGTGGCTGGGAGGCGGCCCACAAACACCCCAAAAAGCTCGAGGGGTTGGAGTAAGCCCTGTCCTCTGAAAGGACAGCGGCGTCCGGCTGCTCGCGTTCTCCTGGCGTCGGCCCGCCTTGCTGAGGGGCACGGCAGCAGTTCAGCAGCACGCACAGAGTAGCCGGGGATGGAATCAATTCCCGTTTCCAAAACAAAACAACGCCGGTACGCTTTAGACTGATTTCCTATCCCGTGGCTGCCAAATCTGTGAGCGCATTCGCTGTGTCTGCAGGCTGCGTGGGGAAGGGAGGGCAGCTCCCGAGTGCTCTGTCAGCAGTGCAAGGCCCCATTCCACAAGCAAAAGGCTCCAGGCTTCTGACCAGCCCTCGCTGTGCTTTTCTGCAGGTTCCTGATGACCACAAATCGAGTACGAGCTCCACTGTTTTGAACGAGTGGAGCCCAGGACCAGCCGTAGCGTACCAACTGCGGCAGTCGCCATTACGGAGGAGGTCAGCCTGACCTTCCTACAGGTAAGTGCTCTGTCCCCGCTGTGCTGCTGGGGCCTGCGCTGCAGGACAGCCTGATCTTTCTTCCCCTCCCGAGAACTATTCCCAATAGCTGGATGTTCAACCTCTTGGCTTCAGGAAACGGAAGTATTTGTCATCCCTGGAAAAGGGTCTCTCAGCAGCTGATCCTTTGCTGTGCCTGTTTAGAGCTCCAAGCCAGCAGCTTGTGCGGTTCCCACGTCACTATTAAATCCCACACCAGCCGCTGCCATAAATCAGGGCGTTAAGGAGACAAAGGGGCTGAGCCACACTCCTCCCCGCGAGCAGTTCAGCTCCTTTTCGTAAATTTTTGCACACAACGTGCGTTCAGCCCGGCGTTATCCGCCCTCCTCTTTCGCAGTCCATTAGCGCTGTGTGTTTCCAACCCTGCCACAAAGTCTGGGTCTGAGAACGTGTTTAATTGTAATTTGTCGTATGAGCATCTTCTGTACCTGCCCGCCTAGGTTATGAAGTGAAACAAATGAGCTGTTTCCAAGAAACGCATACGGTGATTAAAAAAAAAAATCTGTGTGATCAGAGTTACAACAGCCATATACGAGGAGAGTTTGACGTGGAGGATTTTTCACTGCTACTGGCAGTGGCTTTTATTTTAAGCCCATTTTTTTTACATTAAAAATTTTATTACAAAAAATTTAACAGTAAGGCAGTTTCTCAATTGTCAGTCACTGTGAGCCGAACAGTTTTCAGTCACCTTTAATACAAAACTAGATTCACGCAGGAGCCGCGCTCTTGATCCAAAAGCCCTTTGAGCAGGAGGGGGTAAGGCAGACAGCAGCAGCACCACCTGTGTGATCCCCCGCACAGTCAGCGTTAGGTGCGTGAACGCTACTGCGGTGGAGAAAGAGGAAATACGGATTGTCTGCAGTTTAAAAAAAAAAAAAAGCAGCTTACCCTTTCTCTTCTAATCATCTGGAACGTTTCGGTCTGATGTGCCTCAGCAGACTTGAGTTTTAGTTTTGAGGGAGGTTTTTTTTTTTTTTAAAAACCAAGTGAAATTTTCCACTGTCAAAAGACGAAGTATTTTTCTTCCCAAAGAATGGCACGTCATTGAGCAGTTCACTGCTTTAAAAAGTCATGCACTAAACCATTTTTACTCCCCAAGCAAATCGTGCCTCTTAGAGACGGGTCTTAAAATGCTGTTTCACACTGGGAGTACTGGATGGTAGCTGAGGTGAGGGAGGTTAACTCTTCAGCAAAAACTTCCCCAGACACCCCACAACTTCCCTCAAGCTCGGCATGCTGGCTGAACAGAGGTGGGGGGGAAAACACCCCCACCATTCCTTAATAAATATAACCAGCCTGGGATTTCTCATTGCTGCAACCCTTCCGTTCTTCATGCAGCATGCAAGAGACCAGAGTGTTTTCTTGCAGTACCTAAAGCAGTCACTGACACTTTTTATTCAGTATTCCTCTTTTACCTTATGTAAATTCTACAATTTGTAGCTTTTAATTATTTTACTGTGTCAAGTAACTCCCCCGCTCACTTTAGGAAAAAAAAAAAAAAAAGAGCTTTTCTGTAATAGCAAACCCAGGCGCTGTTTTCTAAACGTGTTCATAGTGGCGATGCATCGATTTCTTTTTGTGCTTGTTAACCATGCAGGGTTGGCTTTCCCAAAAGCATTTACAGCTGCCTCAGAGAGAGAATTAGTGCCCCAAAGCAAGACTCCTAGCGCCACGCTGCTCGTTGTATGCTTTTACTTGCAGGAAAGCGGCAGGACTTGCCTGCGGCCACAGTTACCTTTTTTTGGAGCTTAAGAAAGTAAAAAAGACAGGAAAGAGAAAACCACGGATAGGAATGGACTTGAACATCTGACGCTGTGTAAAAGGAAGAAAACGCAGGTAAGTAGAAATGTTATGGCGTTTTTTAATGATTCCAATTTAGTGATCAAAAATATGCTCTGATAACCCATTTCTTGGGTGAACTTATATCAATCCGATACTGCTCTAGTGTACCAGCTGTTCTGAATAAATGAGCAGTACAGACATGAGGTGGAACAATTTCTGATTTTTCTTTTTTATTTGTTTTCTTAAGTGCTGGATGGACTTTTGTTTCACATCTGCCAAAAGCACAGGCAAAACGCAAGAAGGTGCCGGGTTAAGGCTGAACAGTTACGTAGGTCCCGTTGCTAACGGGCTCAGTAGAAATTTAACAACGCATTTTCCAGCAAAGGTTTTAAAGTGTCTTCTGGAAGTGTGCAGTTTCTCGAACTGTAGTACCTTAAGCTGCATTGTCAGTATGCCCGAGGTATTTCTAACATGTTAACAGTTGGTTTCATCTACATTTTGGCTCAATTTTCACCTTTTTTTTTTTTGAGGCAGAAAACCCAATCAACTAGAATTGGAATTTTTTCCTTGGTAAAGACTTCAGGCTTGACCCCTAAATCAGTAAAACCATCATCATCCAGAAAATCAGACTGTTTTTAGGTAGAGCCTGGTGCAGCTCGCTTTGATCCTTGTCCTCGTGCTAATGGAATATTTAGACGCTATGCTAAAAATCCTGCTGTTGAAGAGAAGCGGCTTAGGAAAGCAAACCTCCCTGCAGCCTCTCCCCGCCCCGCTCGGCTCTTCCTGTGCCGGGGGGCCCCGGGGAGGGCAGTTACTCCTCCCGCAGGGATCTGAGGAGCGGAACAGAAGTTCAACAGCTACAGCAGCCACAGTCTCATCTCCCTCAGAGGTTTCAACTTCATCTCAGCATAAGGATGACTCGTCACAAACTAAGGTCCCTGAACGTCACCGTGAGTGAGTTCTTCCAGCGCGGGCACCGCTGACTTTGGGGACGCTTTTTCTGTGTGGGTGGCATGAATCAGAACGGCTCCAGCCCTGGCTCGTGGGAAGAGCAGCAGTGAAGCGAGCAGCACCAGAGCCTCTGGCGGAGGCCCCTTCCCAGCGCTTCCTCGCTCACAGCTACAGACAGGGGAGGCGGCGCGAGGCGCGGCGCTGCAGCGGAGGCGGCCTCCGCAAGGTGAGCGACACCAAACCATCCAGAGCGGGCGCCTTCTCTGGCATCCTGCGCAAACAGTCGCCCCGTGACTGGCCTGTGACACAGGCGTGTCACTGCCTGCATACACTCCGCAGCGGAAAAAACATTTGCAGAATAAAAAGCATCTAAGACAGATTTAGGATGATAAATAGGCCATCTGTTTCTCACAAAACCTTGAGAACTGGGAGGATGAGGGTGGAGAGCATTCTGCGAGGACCGTGTATTACCTCATCACCTGAAGTCTCATAACCAATTTGAAATTCCAGTGTCCTAAGGCACAATTATTTTGATTACTGAGGATGGTAGCGTTCTCATCCCCACTGCCCAAGGAACAGATGTAGGAGTTGACCATACTAAGACAGAACAAAAGCAGCATTTGTTCATGTGGACAAACATTAACAGAAAAAAAATGGAGGGAAGAGGGGCTGTAATTGTTGTCAGGCCGCTCTGATGCGGGCATGTGTTCGACACGACGCTGCTGAAGCATCTCACCTATGCGTATGTAACTGCTGGCTCACGTTTTTGAGGTTAAGAGCCAGATTCCCCACAGAGGCTGAGACGGAAGACAGTTTAAAAATGGGGGCTTTTGTGGAAGTGGAAAACCAGGCTAAAACACACGTTGATAACCTGTACCCCAGAGAAACACAAACCGTGCCCGCAGTTGTCAACAGTAGTGGTCAGCCCTCTAGAAAAGCAAGGAGTCGAATGTCTGGAAATTGAGGAATACGAACGGGTTTAATTCAGCCTTCCTTAGAACGGAGCCCTCCCATTCCATCATCCCCCCCTCAGCAGACTGACAGTTGCGAGGAGGACTCTAAGCGAGCAGCCGCTGGCTTTCCGTGCTCATCAGAGGGGCGATGGTGAAGGGAACACCACACACCCCGCCACCGTTCGTTGTGGCCCTGTATTGTGTCCTTTTTTGTTTTCTTGTAACACTCATAGACCTTAATATATTCCGTTCATAAAACCTTAAGGGGATATTTTAAGGGAACTAAAAGCACATTTGTTTTGTCCACAGATGAAACACCGGTGTAGTTGAAGACTGAACCTGTAGTGGAGTGTTAGTCAATTGTAAACTGTAGGAGATGTGTGCATTTTACACAAACTGAATACAGAGGAGACAAAGGACGAGCCTGCATCATTCCAACTCTGATAAAGTGCACGGCCTTCGGAATTCCTGTCCCCGCTCATGGAGCCATTTATTGGATACTGCAAAGACATAAAGGTATTTGATCACTGCACCTGGTTAGCTCGTGCTTCTGTTTCAGCTAAATACATGCTGTTGGCCAGCTTTCAGTTCAGCACAGGATTATCTTAAATTTCTAAAGTATTTTAATACACACACAAATGTGAAGTTGGTCTAATAAATCCCAGAGGGAAAAAACCTTCCAGTAGCTGCAAAACTATAAGCTATTAAAGCAGATATAGTATTACATGTATTTTATATATATAATAAAATATGCTACTATATATAATACATATAACTTCATATACATGAGAGAGAGAGGAAGCGAGATAGCTATAGATTTCTTTTTATAAAGGACCTAATTTCTGGCTGCTTTTTATTCCACCAGAGGAAAAAGAAAACCAAGACAACGCACCAACAAAGCCCCAGACCCCAGGTAGGTCACAGGCTGGAGAACAACGTGAGGGGTACTTACCCCATTTGTTTCCAACTAGTACCGGGCAGGCCGCGTGCCGCGTGCTGTAATCTCCTTCTCCGCTTGGGAAGAGGTTGTACCAGAACACAGCTGTTCCCTGGAAATTGCAGTGGAAACCCTCAGTGTTCTGCTCTGTGTGATACGCGCTTTCACACCACTTAACGATCAGGCAAAGGTATGTGGTGTTTGTATTTCAGATGTTCCTTTTAAACTGACGGTTCTTTTCCATATTCTAACGTTCGCTTTCCCAAGGAATGCGTCTCCTTTGACTCATTCTGTATCTGTATGTATACATACTTGGCTGTTAATTTTTTTTAAAACTCTAAGCCAGTTTCATTCAACTCTGACCAGTTTTAGAAAGCAAGATCATTCACTAAAAATGAGCAGCAGGCCAGCAAAGCGAGACCTTACTCTTGACCCTTCCAAAGGAAAAAACATAACAGGAACACACAGTTTCAGGGAGAATTCCCTACAGACGCCTCAAGACTAAACCTACTTACAGATTTGAGTATTTTCAAAATGTGTTTTGAAGTGTCGTAATGTTTTGCAAAGTCTACGCACTAGAAGCAGTTAAGTCCAAAACGTAACTATGCGTTACCACGCAGAACGTCAGAGGCCCTTGGAATCACCAGTGCTGCTCCAGTCGCTTCACTTAATTGTAAGTACCTCTACGCTCCCATGAACAGTGCTCTAATCTTAGTTATATCAACTCGTTTTAAAGCTTCTTTTTAAACGTTTATCCATCGGTTATTTTTGAGTAGGTGGGGAGAGGAGTGGTTACCCTGGATAAAGAACCCTGCTTACCTTTTTAGGCCAAACGCTAGCTCCTACTTCAGGAAAGACAGTAGCTCCCCCTGCTGACACATCGCTCATCTGAAAAAGTGGGGAAAGGCACAGGTAAGTTGCAAGCCGACACATTCCCAACTGTCCCGTTCTAGTAAAACAGAATTAGGTTATCGAACAACTTAATTTCTGCCTCCCAATGAGCGAGCAAAGGCTGCGTGATTAACAGCCTTAAGAAAGGCTGAAACCCACCCACTTTGTTCAAAGCACAACAGCCAGCCCCGTCCCCGAATGTTTTGGCAACCAGCACGCTATAAATACCTATGCAGATATAAAAATGAATAGACAGTCAGATAATTCACACTGATGCGCAACAACTTCGAGGCAAAAAACCTCCTTAAGAACACACGGAAGAACCATTACTTACGGGTAAGAAGATACCCCGTATGTATTACTGCTAAGTTAGTGGCTGCCTTCATTTGCAAGTCACTTCAGTTAAGAAAATGTAATGAAATCATTCAATGGTATAGAATATGCTGTGATCGATATTTTTGGCACTAGCACATGGCAGAAATATATCACTTACGTAAAACAACCAAGTAGCAATTCTGTTGCCTGTTCCCAATTCCTTAAAAGCATCTGGCTCATCTTTCTGTGAATAAAAGCAAGCAGATTTAATAAGCATTTCATTTTGATTACTGAGAGGAGCCAATGACATACAGCTGCAGAGCCAGCAGCAGACAAACTCATGGAGAAAAATTAATTCAATCCCTCTATTTGGAAGGAGGGGAGAAGGCAATTTGAGTCTATCTTTTAATTTAAACAAACCAGGCATTTTAAAATTCTGTAGGACAGGAAGGGCATAAGCCCAAATTGCTAATGGGTAGGAAGAACAACTGTACTGTCTGAAAATGAGTACATAAATCCTCTTCACAGCCACAAACTTAATTATTTAATTACACTCACTTATCCCCTCTTGTCCTTGGCCAAGACAAGCAACAGTGAGGGCAGCTCTTCAGTCCCAGGCTCACTGGGAATCACGCTACAGCAGAGCCCTGCCGCAGGGGTGGCTCTGAACCTGCCCCGAGGGCAGCTGTCGGCCCTGCTCCCTCGGGGGGATTCTGCCTGCGGGGCCCTCAGCCTCCTTCCCGCTCCGGCCTTTCTGACCTCGTGCCGGAGCCGCAGGCACTGGCTGCTGCGCCAGGCAGGCTGCTGCTCGCGCTACCTGGCCTTCCGCGTTCTGCGCTCCTCCCTGGCACGCGCGCATTTTAGCGCGCCATTGAAAATCCGACGAGCGATTCATCCCAGCCGCGGGGCGTCTGTGCCAGCCGTTCCCGCAGCTTTCGACAGGAGTGAGGTACACCCCTGCCTCAACACACGCGGACGTGTGTGGCTGTGCCGCTGCCAGCCCAGCGCTGTGGTCAAAGGGGAGGCCTCCTCCCTGCTGCGCTCCAGCACGCGCGCACGTTACATTGATCTTTCATTACAGCTGGGACAAGGGAGGAAGCCGAGCGTGCGAGCTTCTGACAGGCTAACAGACCTGGGCAACTAAGAGGTTTTTATCATTTGACTTACAAGAACACCACAACTTTTTGACAGGATATGAGACTATTGTCACACCTCGCAGCCCACCCCCTGTGACCACTATTTGTGTGTGCTAAAATCTTTGTCAATCATTACTCCAGAAATTAACCCATGCATTTCCAAACAAAACCTGTTAATCATTTGCAATGCTTTTGAGCATGTGCTTACAGAGCAGAGATTCTGATTAATAGTCGGTGGCTTGGATTCACAGCGTAAGGTTAATCTGAAGGTGTTAAATCACACGTAAGTACGCCCAATAAATAACCAACTGAATTCAGTGGCATTATTTCCAGCAGTTTGTAATTTAAGCTGGAATAGAAACAGGCTGGAAATTTAAATCAAGTAAAACAAAAATAAGGATGGTGAGATGAGAAGGCTTCGGTAGGCTTTTTCCAGTTTCAGGACTGCGCTAGCAATCAGCACATAAACTACAGTCACAGAGCACTTATTTAGATTTTCAAAATTTGTTCAACAGCATGCAAGACGCCTGCGTCTCAGCTCTGGGGAAAGGAGTTCTCTTTCCGCATCGCAGGCCTACACGGTAAGCTGCAACTCAAGTTTTCCTACGCTGCCTACAAAGCCTTCCTCATAGAGGAGGGCATTAAGCTCTCGCCCGTGCGGCCACGTCTGCCTTACTCAGCAATGCTCTGCACTGCGGACACAGCTATGGCAGCTTCGGTGCGTGGATGCACGTTAGCTGCTGCCACCGTCATCTGCCGCACGTGTCAGGAGCACAGGACAGATACACACCGAGGTTCTGTACAGTTTAGCTGGATAACCTCCAGTGATTTTAAACAAAATGGCTTTACATGGCCAGTACCCTGGCCAGCTAGAATATTTCTAACCGTTTCTGCAGCTTTGGAATAAAGCTAATGCCCTTTGCGCTGTTAGGAACTGTCAGTCAGCTCCTTAGAACAATTCTTTAACTGTATTTTTAAAGAAAAGCCTTGTTGCTCTGTAACGCCCCAAATGTTTATCAGTTCAGCTGGTGGTTTAGAGGGCTTTCTCCACTACCACGGATTAGAAAAGTTGAAGAGCTACAAAATTTAATACACATTAAAGAATGAAAACTGTGCCACAGCCAAGAGGCCCAGGCTTCACCAGGTGACTATCTCTCCTCCAGCTCTTTACTTGCCCGTGCAAAGTCAAAGTGGGGTTCATACTGTCCTCCCACTCCGTAATTTGCCACCTGAAAAAGAGAAACACAGTGCTTGTGAAGAAGAAAGAGGTGGAGACAGAAAACAGGACTTACCCTTCCAAAATCAAAATGAGGCTCATACTGGCCTCCTACTCCGTAGTTGGCTACCTATGGTGAAAGGAGAAGCACAAAATCTAGTAAAGCAGTATTTTATCCAGACAAGAAAGGGCAAGAATAGGACTGTCATCTACAACCATTCAATAGATGAAGCTTAAAAATCAAGCCCTAGGAAATGACAAGTCTGCCAGCTAAACCATACTCGATGCAGCAAAGTCCTTCTGGGTTTAGTCACAGGTAGCTCTGACTTCACCCAGATCCCTCATCAGTGTCGAGCCAGAACCGGACTCTGAGCTTCAGGGTCTCAGCCCTTCAGTTTGCCTTTGCAGTTCTCGACTGGACACCAGCTCCCAGAAAAGCTGCAGCTGAACCTCCCCTTCCCTGGGGACAGCTTCCCTTGAAAGATCTTCTGTCCACCCCCAGCTGAATGGTGAATACATTTTCCCATTTCTGAGTGCCTGCCACTGTCTGATCTAATGACTCTCAGGTCATAGAACCTGACCATGAAACTCCTGAAGACCTGGACAGCCCCCGGCTCCAAGGAGCCCCAAGATGTTTGGCTAAAGGAGCAGCAGCACATCCAAGCCTGGCACGGCAAGATGCAGTGTACTCTGGGTAAGGAATCTGGTACTTCCCCAGGGCAGAAAAATATTTTTCTTCTATAGAAACTTGACAGGCTCTATTCTCTTTAAAATAGGTCCTGGCATTTTTACATCATTCAAGTTTAAATCACTTTTTGATCTCTGCATCACTAAAGAGGATCCACTGTCCTTTTTGCCAATTGGATTTTTTTTTTTTTTCATCTCTTCTGTGTATTCATAACCTCAATTTTCAACCAGCTGCTCTGGCATTTTATCATCAGGAGTCTTGATGGAGTAGCACAGTGGCGCAACAGCTTTCAGGAACCACTTTCTAGGTGTCCTGCTTTCTAGGTATTAACGCTTTCTCAGAATCAGTGAAGCAGCTGTTCATTTAAAGGCCTCAAGCAAACGAATACAAAGTAAGTAAATCTGAAATAAAATTTACTCAAGTTACATGTACGATCAGTCTTTCCCACAGTACAGAGACACCGGACACGCTGTTGGCCTTCCAGGACGGACCAAGGATGGGATGGCAAATCTAAACAACCATTCTCTCCCCCTTTCCTTGAGTATCTCAGTGAAGCTAAAACTTTTCGCTGTCACCACAGCAGCAAAGTTTGACCCTGCAGCAATGAAACTCAGTTCCATTAGTATAACTAAAAAGGAATTACACATCCACTGCAACGAACATCAGGGGTTTCAGTTACTGCCGTTTCCCTCCAGCAATAAAAAGCTGTTTCACACTAAGATAAGCACTACTCTGCAAAGACAACTGTGTTTCTTCCTCCCTGTAAAAAACCCACTCATTCTTCCCAGGGCCTGGAATCAAACCAGCCATCAAATTAGCTGCCCCTGGGTTGAATGAGCCTTTGTGGCCACCTCACCACCATCACCTGGGCGAGCACGGTGCTGCACACAAAGCCATCCAACCTGAAATGCCCGTTGACATTCACCATCATAGTTGTCCTAACAGTTTACCTGTAGTTCCTCTGCTGTGGAGACATCGAGTCCTGTTAGGTCCTGGATCCTTGTGTTAATGCGAGATACCACAGGGCTTTCATATCCAGACAACCAAGCGCTGGGGGGAGGGGGGGGAATAAAAATCAATTAAAAATGGTGGTAATAGGCAGTAAGCAAGCTAGCAGTACAAATGCACCACTTGGAATTCCTTTGAATTTGAGATTTATTTTTTTTTTTTTATACTTTCAAGAACTTGGTAGGATGATCAGAAATAGTTCCAGGCCATTATGAAGGCCTGCATTTAATAAATACGTTTTCTAGAAAAAACGCTTACAGCACTGGTTTAAGGAAGCTCTAAAACTAAGGGCCTTAATTCCCATGCTGGCCAATTACCAAATGAGTGAAGAAAATGTTCCAAACAGTGAAATCTGCTCCAAGCTGCTTTCTAAAACAGGCACAACACACTTTTGCACTTACCCATTCCCAACAGCTAATTTAGACCCCACATTTGATGCATTTTGAAGCAACACTTGGGGAAGGAATAGAGGAGTTACTTTATTTAGCATATGCAGAGTCTGTGTGATTGTCACTCAGCTCTTCCACATGTCATGTGCTTACAGGCTCTCTGATCTGTCCTTTCACATTACTTACCTGTGCAATGGTACTAAAAATCATTACGAAAACAATTAAATAATGCATAAAACACTTTACTATTTTCTCTGTTCAACAATTTCTAGCAAAACAACCTATTACAAATTTGGAATTTAGCACATGTTTCAGGTACATAATGATGGCAGGGGAGGAGGGGAACACAATGACCAAAGCCAAACCAATTTTTTTTTTTTTTTTAATATAAATGTGAAAGACCAGTCTCACAGCTCCAAAGGCATCTTCAACATGTCTGCTTCCTACTGCAAATTAGAACTTTTCGGCTAGAAATACTGCATTTAAAATAACTGGCAAGCTAGTCAGCAGAGAAAGGTATGAGCAGGTAGAGAAGCAGTTCTACACAAGAATCACTGGCTTCGCTCAGCCCCAGCGTGGCATTTTCTGCTCTAAGTGGTTGCTCCTTCTTGAAAGCTGCCTGACTGGGCAGCAGCTCTGGCATCCAGAGGCAGCCACATGCGCAGAAGAGCAGCGTCTGGCAGAAAAAGGCACAAGCTTAGGATAACCACAGCTCTGCGCATCCCTGCTGGACCCCTACCAGCTGTGAACACGGTCAGTTGCTTGCATGGAAACACACATGCATTTTTTTTTTTTCACTTCTTTACAAGATCAACATTTTGTTCTTTTGGGGGGGGGGGGGGGCAACTCATTTTAATTTCTTTTTTTTTTTTTTTTTTTTTTTTTAAAACCACTCATCTGCTCAAATGCTGCTTCCTTTACTCCTCCCATTCCAGCCATGCACCTTCACTTTACCTGCTCCGCTTTTCCCTCTCTGGGAATGCTCGCTACCTCCCTGGTCCTCTTCTCTAGTTCCCTTGGCAGTCCCCTACTAGTCATGATACTATTGCTTCCATTTTCCCCTTTTTTGCAGGAAAATGGAGACAGCTAGCTCTATCTTTTTTTTTTCCTAGCATCTGACTCAGCCTTTTGGGCTTGTCCGTGGGTCCTGCTGCTTTTACAAGACTGTTGGACAGAAATACCTATGCCCAGCGCCTAGCTGGCAAGTACATCATAGAACTTCTACTCAAATGAACTTTTTGCATCTGTACTAAAGTAAGGTTGTTTTCTTTAACAAAAAAAAATTGTATTAAAAAACCCCCACACCAACACACTTTTCATGGGAGGAACAGTAGCATGACACATGACACAAGGCACTGACACAGGTTACAGAATCTCTACGAGCATGTTTTGTTTTGTTTGTTTTTTTTTTTTTTTTAAATGACAAATGTACTACAGATAAAAGAAATCCGTAACATTCCTCAAGACAGACTTGCACAAACACATACCAAGATTCAGCCACTTCTCAACACTGTTAGTATAAGGAAGTGTTACAATGCAACCTTCTTTCTTTGATTTAGGTAGGAGAACGCAAAGACTACTTACTTACTTATCTGAAGCATTTCCCAAAAGGACAAGCAGCTCTGCAGGCACATGCTACGCAGCCATGTTGAACAGCTAACACTCACGAGCAAGCCTAACCTCGCACTTAATACATACGAAAAGCAGCCAGCAGCTTCAAAGCATAGGCTTTAGCTACCATCTGTCCCGTCTATGCATAAAGGCTTTAAGAAAAAACAAAAACAAAAAAACCACCAAGCCAAAGAAAGAAAAAAGCAAGCATTCTTACTATGTTGGTTATTTAGAATTGCAATGAATGCTTTCAACGGGGAGAAACACTACATCCTTTCATGAAGGGAAAGTACTATATGTATTTTAGAAATAAAATTAATCGCCCAAGGATACAAAGAAAGTCTATGAAAGGTGGAGGAAACAGGGAACTGCAACCATATTTCAAGTGCCAGCCTGGCTGCCGGTTGCTGAGCAAAACATAGGGAGAGGCATGTAGTGCAGAATAGTTTCATATGAAGAGTTACAGCGTGATTTAACCCTGTAAGCATCATGAAATCCGCTTCCATGAGGGCAGAGTGCCCAGGAGGGCCTGCAGAACCCTGCCCCAACTGCCCAGCATCAGGAGGTGGCTGTGCCGGCTGCCTTCAGGATGCACAACGAGGGTCTCCTGTTACTGCAGGCTTTGCCTAGTGGCCTTCGCAGAATGTAACAATCATCTGTCCTACGCTGTCCTCTTTTGTTGCTAGTCTCAGCCTTGGGCCTTTGCTGACAGCAAAAAGTAAGCGTGTGCCTAGTTCAAGAGCATTTATAGCAGGTATTCCTTCACACAAAGAAATCTTTTTTCCCTTCTCTTGTCTATTCTTAATTAAAAAAAAACCAAACCAAAATAAAACCCAACTCTCTCACCAGTGGCATCTGTGATGCAGAATGTTCAGCCTGATTCAGTAAAAGGACACAGCTCTACTCTTCCGTGTAGATTTGTTAAATTAAGAAGTTGCATGAACAGCATTCTGTCATATTTTTTTGACCAGCTGACTCCTATGAGTGCACTGTGGGCAGAAACCTTCGTAACAAAAAGGGACAGGCTTATTTCTGGGAAGTTATAAGCACGGCCATTGAAGATGTGGGTGACTTGACTGACTGACTTACGGGAGGATCTGATATTTCCTTAATGACTACCACACCAAACCCCAAAATTCCCTGACTAGAAAGGCATGGTATTTTGGTGTCGCACTTGGCTTTGCGAAGAGACACCCATGAACTAAGCTAATATGTTCTAGAAATGGAGAGCGTTCCATTAGCGTGGTGAATTCGTGCTGGGGGATTGCTTTTCTTCTTCCTCACTCCGAGATCTGGCTTTTAACAACTTTTATATTCATTACAAACAGCTAGCAGTAATTACATGCCCTCCTCCCTCTTAGAATTCTGAATCAGGGATCTTCTTGGAGATTTTTAATAGCACAATATACTTATATACGCAGAAATGATTTTAGACTAAGCAGTATATTAGGAAAAAAAACACTAGCCAACTGTCCAAAAAGCTACATGATGTGCGAGGGCTTATACGGCCAAAAGCTCATCTCCTCCAACTGCACTAGTCGGTCTAGTCCCAGACACTACAACGGCTATGTCCTTAGTCTCCAGCTGCACCCGCACTGCCCCAGAGTAGTATTTCAACACTGCTTTTGTGACCAACAGTCATTGGTCGCACCAAATAATACTGGCATTTGTTTTTAAAACTTTATCATAAATGTACTTAGTATGTAAAAAGTAGTAGTAGAGACGCAACAGGGAGTGAATAAAGCACAGACTGTTATTTCTGAAGTGGAAACTTGAAGCTCATATGCTACAAGCTCTGACTGGCTGCTGGGGGCACGGGGGGGAAGCAGCTTCTTTAGCAGCAGTGTGAGAGCGGCTGCGTTTATTCTGGTACTGCACACAGCCCGGCTTGATGGTGCTCCTCATACTGCTGGCAAGGTGCCCCCTTTTATAGAGCCTGCCACGTACTGCACAGCGAACAGTAGTCCTCTCAAAGAGAGGAATGCTGTAATTTAGAAGTTCATTCGCTAGGAAAGAATGTTTGAAGGGGGAAAGCAGTCATGTATTAAAAAAATAAAGCAAGCATTTTTTTGGTTTTCAGGAGCAATGATTCATCTGGAATCCAAACCAGCTCAAACAGCTCTACCAGAAAGATGTTTCTACCAGCGGTTCTGCAAAAGCCGTTCAGCGATCCAGCATTAACAACATGATCCTTCTAAAGCAGTCTGGCTTGGGGGTCTGGCGGTGGCTTCTACCTCCTACCATAGATGTAGCTGCCAAGTTCTCTTTTAAAGTACATACATCCTAAACAACCTGGAGGAGCGCAAAGGCAAGGGCAAGCATGAGAAGGGAAGTCCCCCTCCCCCCTCCTCAAGTCTCTTCCTACCCTCAAAAAATTGTCTTCGCTAACTTCACAACGTGCTGTGCCCCATTTCCTTGTACGTTTCTTTGCAATTCTACTTCCGGTTTCCAGCGAGACACGGAATTAAAAATCTTAGCTCAGTAAAATCTGATTTAATTCTGTGCGTTCCTTAGGTACGTTAGAAGGAAGTCCCAAAGAGCCACCTCTGCGAGCACCAAACCTTAGACCTTTAAGGGTCTCATTCACCAGGTACGAGGCGCGAGGCTCCGTTCCGGGCTTGCGGCACACCGCGCCAAGGAGGCGGCAGCACCTCACGGACAACAGCTGCCCTCATCCTTTATCACAGAGGCCCTAGGCAAGGCACAGCACACGGTTAATTGCAGATTAAAGCCCTAGGAGAAACAGTTATTTTGTCATGTCACAAGGCCAACAACAAGGCAGCAATGGCAAACGAGGAGCTGGCTGCACCGTCAGCCGCACACACTCACGAGGGACTCGGCTTTTCGTGATGGGTGTTGTCTGGTACTATTTTTTCCTAACTGCGGCATCTGCGATAGCCTCAAGGCATAACGCTTCCCACTAATGAAAAATCAAAACTCTAAATAAAAAGTCCTTTTACTAAGGATGATGTAATTAAATAGGGGCCAAATATGCATCTCAGTTTCAATTAGTGAGCTGGTCACCTTCTCTAACTCCTATTATTAGGACATCAAGTTTGACAGAAACCATGAGGGTACGTTCAAATGGATTAAGAAGTTTCCTCAGCAAATGCCCCAGAGCAGTCTGTGTCACAGAGGACAAATACCGAGACTGAATAAATGCTTTCTTCACAACAGAGTCACAGATAACCGAGACAGGACACGGACAGACTTTGAAAACAAAAACTAAAACCCAAACGCAACACATGTCAAACAGGAAGATGGATGTTCCTGAAGTCATTCTGGAGGGGGCCTGCGGAGGTAGTTTTCAGGAGCAAACGTGTAAGAGCTCACCAGACAATTCCCGCAGGACTCCCACGACCTGATGAGTAAGGAGACCTGCGTGCTGCTGAAGGTGCAAGGCAGTTTTCAATGTATAAAAATAAAAAGTTTTCAACTTGTCACTACTTGTTACAAGCGTGGCTTTAAGGATTAGACTTCCACTACAATGGTTGTCTAGTTTCCCCGAGAGTTATAATCGTTCTTGAATCCATCAGCTTCTTGTGGATCCAGTATTTTGAAGCACTTTTATCTTTTTTAAGATATTCATAGCTAAATAACACCCCTTAAGCTACTAGCCATTCTACTTTCAGGGTTTTTTGTTCAAAGAAGCTGAAAGAACACTAGTTTTCTATTAAAGCAGCGACTACTTTCCATCATTTAAGCAAGGACATGCTTTAAAATTATCAACCAGCTTTAATTTGCATTATTCCCATGAATTACAGCAGCTCATCGGTGCCTAGTTTTAAGCAGCAAGTATCACAACCGGAGTTTAGCGGTAGAGGTGAGCTACGCGGGCAGCCTTTCCCACCGTTCGTTAGCGTAAGCAGAACCCCGCGTGCCGCTCCCGTTTTAGTACGTTAGTTGCACTAGGCGAGCCATGCTGAGCGGAAGAGGGCACCTCCGTCTTGGCTACCGCTAACATACAGAACTATTTTCTATTTCAGCGGACCGCTTGCTTTGTTATGCGACAGCTCCGTTTGCTTTAGGCCATTCTCTTTCTTCTAAAGAGAAACTACGAATCTACCAGTTATGCAAAATCCTTATTTGCCCCACGTTTAGAGATGAAGCGGTACGGTCCCGGAACAGACCTCCTCAGACTGGGTGTACCTTTGGAAGACGTTCCCCTTACCTCTTAGAGACTCTGTAATGTGCTGTGGTCAGTTTCCCAGTCTCAGGGTCATGAACAGTAGCACGGCTCAGCTACAAAAAGAGAAAGGACAAGGGCTTACCCACCTCGTAGGCTGCTTTTTTGCCAAGCCACAGGTGTTTGAAAGGGTTCCGATTGGTCTGGATGGTATGCAATGCTCTTAAATTAGCAATATTAGAAAGGCAACAGAAGCTGTAGCTGCCATGTCCAAATCAAAACAAATTGGTTGGAAAAATTTGGTTAGATTGTCCTTTCACTTTTTTCCTCCTTTTTTTTTCCTTTTTCTTTTTTCCTTTTTTTTTTTTTAAACTAGAGACTTTCTGTAAATAATTTATGATGCTGAGTTTCACAGACAATTCCTCTTCACCCAGAAGTTTAAATCCCTTCAGAATTTTGGCTTAACGCTGATGGAATGCGCGGCCAGTCTTTAATCACCACTACTAAAACCGGGGGGGCGCGCGGGCGGGGAGGGGGCAGGTGGTTTCTTTTAGAGCCAGCCAATTTTGGAAAACATTGGCTAAATTCAGGACTTCACAGACAAGCTGGGAAGAACCAGGAGCCCAGTGAAAACGAGCTTGCGTTCTGCCAGATTTGTGTCAGCAGGAGGTAAAGGATCCCAGACCGAGATTCTCTCGGACAATGAAACGCTGTGTGACTAACGAACGTGTGCTTTGCACGCCACTCCAGCTGTCATGCCCAGTAAGAACTTGAAGCGTCTCTTGCATGCGTAAAGGCACTTCAAGCGGTCTGCTAGGTTTTACACGGGAAGGGAGGACAATTTTTGGTTGGTGAGAAGAGCAAGGGGAAGGGAATATAAAAAAAAATAATCTAGGTTGTACTGAAGGTTTTGTAGCATCGTGTATTTTTACACCAATTAGAGAGACCTGCTTCTTCTACAAGATGATCCTCTGGTAACACACACTGAGAAGGTGACCAAAAAAAGAAAAGGAAGACATCAAAACGCACCCCCAGAACTTCTAGCTGAAGGAAAAGACTGAGAAACTCAGCAGTAACAGCCTGTTACAGATCTGCACGTAATAAAGCGGTGGACTACAAAGCCGAAGTTGTCTTTTTAGACCACCTCTTTTTTCCCCATAATGAGCAGATTCTACACACTCATTACAGGCCCAAAACATCTGGCATAGAGCGCTCTTACCTTTTGCTAATTCTGTAATGTGCCGTCTCCAAGGCTCCTGTTATGGGGTTTGAAATGGTGGCTCGCCTCAGCTGTGAAGCGAACCATCAGAATAGTTGCATTACAAAGCACATACTGCATCACAGCAATCCGACCATTCAGAAGCCTAAGAGGAAACGTCACGCAAGCCGCCACGCGAGCCACCCGGTCACCTCTTGCGGTGGATTTTCTTTTATGGAGGGGGTGGAAATTCACAAAGCAGTGATGGGGAAGGAGAAGGGGGAGTCTCCAATTCTGCTAGAAGAGAGGTTTTTAGGGCATTTTGGTTTGTTTTTTTTTTTTAAACAGAGCTTTAGAGAAGATCAAGTTCTCCAGGAAGCAACGTTTCCATTTCTGTAGCAAGAAGAACAGTCGTCTGAATAAAGTAAACTAGAAGCTTTCATTTCCTTCATATTGCAACAACTGCTGGAAGCGGTACAATATTATGGCACGGGTACAATCGGTCCTTTGTTAGCACTCTGTCCTGCGCGCGTAAGATGAGTTTTACAGTTACATTGAATCCAGGCAACACGGTGATCTTGTGTAAGTGAAAGATGAGTAAAACCCTACCCTTTTGATTCTTTCTATACCAAAAGCGGCACTGAAGTGAACTCCTTTAACACCGACTGCTAAGGCAAACTAATTGCTTAGTCCACAGACGCATTTACATTGTATTCCTCAGTTACACAGAGTGAGAACGCTTGGTTCAAGGCCTTCCTTTCCCTCTGTTGTGCTCCATTTACTTGACACCATCCCATCCGTTTTAATACTCTGATTCAGAACCTTACGTGCGCCCTTTACCTTCGTTCACGTACTATCAGGCGCTCTCCGTCATTCATAACTGCAGAGAGAGAGGTTGAGTTGCAGAGCCCAAATTTTGGAAGAGGCACAAAACGGCAAACCAAGTCCCAAACAATGAGAAGTATTTTTCTGTCGTTAAAATAAACCAAGTAAAGCAAGGCCTCTCCATGCCTACTAACAAGAAAAGTTACCGGGAACTCCTCATATGCTGTCTCTCCTCTCATCCCACGCAGACGCGTAGAAGAATCAAGGCACAAACTACGATTCCAGCGAGACTCCGCTGTAAGCTGAATAACGAGGCTTCATCCTGCCAGCTTATGCCACCGGAGCAGCAGAAGGCTGGGCACAGATCAGACAGCGCTGTCTTCCGAGAGGCGGCGATGGTAACATCCCGAGCATCGGGAAGAAGGAGATGACCTTTCAGTCTCAAAAAACACAATCTTCTTGCTACGCTCATTACTGAGCCCTGCAAGGCCTCGGCCGCAGGAAATATATGGAACGCTAACAGCATACAGATGCTTCTACATTAATGAACTATATGAATCTGCAAGTCTTTACCACAAGCCAAATATCTAGTAGGAAAACATTTCTCTCAGCAAGTTTAGAAGTTAAAATCGCCACGTTTCAGAGATCCACACAGGTTCCTGTTTTCAGTGCTAAGACTGATTTCTACTCCATAAAGAAGCGATTCAGTCATATTCCACAGGCATAATGCCAGAGCTTTTGCAGCAGCAAAGGGGCTTAACCGTCAACAGATAAACAACTGGGGCTCTGATTTTTCAGACCTGCAGCAAGGCTGCCTGACAGGAGAGCAGGAAGAGACCTTTTACAGGTAAGTGAAGAGAAGCGCTTGTACTTCTTGCTTACAGTTCAGAACAGAACATTTCCTCGGAAATAAAACGCGTCAACCTTTAGGAAGCTTTAAAATCGCCTTCAGGCTACCTAGTACTCCATGCAGTGGCCCAGGACAGCCTCACCCTCAATGTGCCCATGTATAACCCACAGCTGGTTTACTTTGCAGCAGACCAAGCTACCCATTTGTCCTGTACTTAATGCACTTATCCCCCTAACCTCCATTTGCTCAGCGCTCTCTGGACAAAAAGCCATTTAGGCTAAAAACAAAGAGAAAATGCAGGAAAATTGTATTTCCACAAGTTTAAATCTTATTTTTGAAGTAACTGATAATTGATGGAAAAATAAACCAATTTAACTAACTACATCTTCAACGCACATCTTGAGATGCGGAGTCGCACCAACTGGATACAGAAAGCAACTCTATCCGGTCGCTGTCGGTCTCGGATGCCCCTCTTTGCTCTGACAGTTGAGCTGCCCTGGATTATTCTGCATTCAGAAACAAGAACCTCGGGATCCAGTTTCTGAAATAGGATTTGATGAGCTGGCATGGTGACTAAGCAGCTGAGTACCACTGATGAAGTACTGCCCTCTTAAAGCTCTTCCACCTGCAGGCAACTTCAAAGCCTGGGAGACAGAAGTCAGTTTTACACCGAATGGAGAATACAACCATTCATTCTCGTCTATACAATAACGTGGCATTCCAGGACCAGAGGAGCGGCTGCCTTTCCCTAGACGGCACTCTTCTCCATGTCACAACTTTTGGCAAATACAGACTTAAAAAAGAAAAAAAACCCGAAAACCAGAAAACGAAACAAAAACCAGGTGACAGGTATACTTCCAAGGCAACCTAGCTGCAGTACACGTTTGTTTTCTGTTGTAGAACATTCTCCTCCTTATCTGAAACAGCGTGCACTGAAATTGTGTCTGCCGGAAGAGTCTGACAATCCTGCGCTCTTCATTACACAGAATCTGGCTCTCTTAATTACACAGAATTTCCAGCTTTCCCACTGTCTCCTTCAAAGAGCGCTTCACCCAGAGCTATGAGGTGAGAAAAGCGACGTGTGAGCACGCTGCACGCACGTCTGCGTTCAAGAGGAGATAGAATCACACACACTCACCCAGAAAACTACACACAAAATTTAAGATTCCAAAAGGCAAAGAAGCGAAAGGCATTTACCCTCGGCTTTGCTAGTTCTTTCACAGTTTCGATCTCTTCATCGGAGATGATGTCAAGGAAGCGAACAATTCGAGGTTTGTCCCACTCATCTTCCTGTTTGACAGGGCCCAGAATGTATCTAGGATTCCTGTTTCCGTCATAGTAGCGGCAGAAGAGTCTTTTTTGTCTCCGAGGAGTCTGAAAGCAAGGTGGAGTGAGAGATAATCAGAGAACTTCCACATGACGTTAATATCTCTAAGAAACAGAAGATGTCCCGAGAACAAGAAACAGGAACGAC